TATTTAAACAGTGAAAACAAAGATAAATATATTTCAAACTTTCAACCAAAAGACAAAACAAAGACAAGTACTAACTTCATAGTGTTAAAGTAAAAAGTTTAGCAGTTTTGCAGCAACCGAATAAATTTACTAAGCAATCTAAGTGAAATGGTTAATTTAAGTGAAATTACGAGTAACTTTATCATCAAGTTAAATATGGAAAATCTTAAACTTACCTCGTTGCGTAGAGTATAAACCTCATTCTGCAACGATACTACCATCTCACGTAGAGCGCCAACCTCACCACGTAAAGTAGACACCTCCACACGCCATGCACCATCGTTATCAAGTAGAGTACCGATCTCCTCACGCAAGGCATTGACCTCATCACGTAACTCCCTTGACTCATCCCGTGGAGGTGGAGAATAGGGAGATAGAAGTCGTGGCATCTTTGCCGGTCGCCTATCATGAGGTGATGGTGGAGAAAGAGGCTCGATGATATGACGGGATAGGTGATGGCTCTCTTTGTAGAGGTGTATAGTCGGGTCGATCAGGTGATGGCTCTAGGTGAGGTGATGGCTCTCGAAGTGGAGGATGTGAAGGCTGCTCATCATTCGTGCCATCAAGAAAACGCTGACTAGCTTGCCACCAATCAGTGGCAAGCTCAGCCTCCGTGGGTGTCAGTCTCATTAATGGAATGTTGGCCTCCTAAAAATATAAAAACTCAAACAAAGTTAAACGTCTACTATTAATAACTTGTTTATATGATAGTATTTGTGTTAACTTACATTATTTATTGTCACATATGGTATTAAGTCTTCCCAATCCAACAGACGTTTCCTCTTCCAGGAAATAGCCCTGGGAATATCATTTGAAGTTTTTATTGCATATGTCTTCATGGCGGGAAAGGCCTCGAATATCCAAATCTACAAACAATATAATAACAAACATTAGTAATTGTTAAATAATTAATTATAATTTTGAAAACATTATATAGAAATTCTTATCTTAAAGGCCCAAACAAAGCCTGACAAAGTGTATTTCGACCCATCGCCCCGCAAACTTTTGCGGTCATCAAAGGCAGACGACAACTTAGTCCAGGTAGCTTTCCATATATACGAACCCCACGGAAACAGATTTCATGCATTTAGGTCCTCTACCAATAATATTAGCTCCTGAGGAATAGGTTGTCTGGCCTCTCTGCCTAAAAAGCCGGAATACAAAAAGTAGTAGAAGGCATACTCGGACAACATCGACGTCATTCATCCGAGTAAAACCATCTTTCTTATTAAACAATTTCTTCATGTCGTCGACGTGTAAGTTCGGCTTCTCTATTGACTCATCAGGAAAAACCCTGGATAACCATGATGGGCGGGTGATATGACGAGTGTACCGGCCTACATCATCGTGTCCGAATCGTAGACCAGTGATTAAGCAGAACTCCTTCCGCCCAAAACAAGTATACGTCGGTGGAAAATGAAACCATATCTCTTCCTCACCACGTTGTATACTGTCGGGTAGATCGCTAGTCATGGTCTGAAGCCACAAATGGGTCAAACTAGCATCTCCACCCGGATGCTGTACTCTCAGCCATGGCCCGAAGCAGGTTTCTTCAAACAATTTTCTTTGTGCAGGTGAAAGCTTCGAAGCAATTGTAGTGGCTAGGCTAACTTTATTCCTTAATGTGAATGAAGCCGAAAAAAATTTCTACAAAAAAACAATAAACATACCAAGTTAGATATACCAAAAACTACACTGTCAAGATATACCAAAAAACAAAACAATAAACATAAATAGTAGTTTATTCTTGAAACTAAAATTTGCAACACTGTTTTTGTCTTTTGGTTGAAATGAAAATCGCAACGAGATAATGAGAATCGCAACGCGGAAATGACTATCGCAACGATAGAATCGCAACGAGAGAATCGCAACGCGAAATGACTATCGCGACCAGACAATCGCAACGCGAAATGAAAATCGCAACGCGAAATGAAAATCGCAATGCGATTTTTGTTTCGCGTTGCGTTTTTTATTTCGCGTTGCGATTCTCTCGTTGCGATAGTTATTTCCGCGTTGCGATTTTCATTCTCGAAACTATTCTTCTTCTGCATTACTTCAACCAAAAGACAAAACAAAGACAAATACTAACTTCACAGGCTAAACAGTTTAGCAGTATTGGCAGCAATCGAATGAATTTAATAAGAAATCTAAGTGAAATGGTTAATCTATTATTGAAATTACCAGTAACTTATCATCAATCTTAATATGAAAAACCTAAAATAATGCAAAAATTTCAAAAAAAAAAAAAAAAACTAACCCTCGGAGGTTGATTTTCCATTTCTGAATGATTGTGAGGGATTTTTGACTGTGAATGGTTGTGAGGGATTTCGCCGGCGATGGGGACGGAAATCTTCGGAGATGGGGACGGATTTCGCCGTAGAGAGTGAGAGATGGAGATGGGACTGAGTGTTGTGATTTTGGGTTTGAGGTTATGAGTTGCGATTACTGTGGACGGTTCAGTTTTCGATTTATTAAGAAAAAATTCGTGTTTGGAATTTGAAAAAAAAAATACGCGTTAATACGAATGGCGCTATGTAAATAGCATTGCGAAAGTCAGTATCTCGTTGCGATTTTTTATTATCGCATTGCGATAGTAAGTATCGCATTGCGATAGTCAGTATCGCATTGCGATTTTCCCAATTCGCGTTGCGATTTACTTATTCGCATTGCGAATTGGGAAAATCGCAACGACACTGTATACCATCGCAACGCGATTTCCAACTATCGCAACGCGAAATGCAACGCGAATTTGCGATAATGGAGATCGCGTTGCAAATTAGCGATCGCATTTCGATTTTGTTGGTCATTTTGGCAAATCCAAAAAAAAGTTGGTTAAAATCGTATATTATATGGGATTTTTGGTCACTGAGGTTATTTTCTCATTTTAAAATTATAATTGATCACATGACTTTTAGATTGGAAACTTATATAATCCTAATTAATCACCAAACTTTTGACGTTATGATTTAAGAGTATATTTATTTTATATTACTTTAGACTACTGATAAGCAGCTCGTAAATTTTCCCATTATTTGCCGGAGTAATTTTTACAGTAAATGACGTATATATATCCACATAAATGGAGTCCATATAAACTTTACATCTACAAGGCAAGTGGCCATTAAATTCTGGCATTGAAAGAAAATTTCGAGGCAGGCTAAGCCTAACTTCATTATTTTTTATTATCAATACGGACCCAATTATTTAATATAAAACAATTCTTTTGGCAAAGATAACCGGAAGGATGGACCCCGATACCACGAAAACGATGTCAATCCTGCGGTGCGGAGTCCGCGATATTTTCGACCACTCGAACGATAGCGTCGAGTTCGTCACGGCAGCTAACTATACCTTTTTCCAGAGGATGCCTCGATGGAGCAGGCGTCGACTGACCTACAAATTCCGTTCCAGTGCACGTGTGGTCAGTGTTGGACGATTAAGGCCTATCATCGCTAGGGCATTGCATAGATGGGCAGTTGTATCCGGTTTCACGTTCCGTGAAGCGAGGTTTCTTAATCGATAGGATATCGTGTTGGGGTTTCACCGTCGTGAACACGGGGACGGCTACCCGTTCGACGGTCCTGGAAACGTTCTGGCTCATGCTTTTGCACCACGATACGACAAGCTCCATTTCGATGCGGACGAGAACTGGAGTAGTAATAATGTTACGAGATTTAACCAAATCGAATGGGAATCTATATCTGATCATGAACTAGGACATATAATAGGACTGGGCATAGTCGGGACCCAGATGCGATTATGTACCCATATTATATGTCTAGTTCTATTAAAAGGGATCTCGGTTAGGAATGGTAAAAAAACCCGAACTCGACGGGGAAAATCGAAAACCGAATTAAACGGGGACGGGAGAAACCGTTTATGCTAAACGGGGACGGGGACGGGTTTGGTAATCCCAGCCCCGGTTACCCGATTACCCGCCCCGATATCCGACCCGATACCCGACCCGATAAATATTAAAAATATATATATATATATATATATATATATATATATATAATATTAATAAATTAAATTTAAATTAAATTAAATTAAAAATATATATATATATATATATAATATTTATATATTTAATTTAAATATATATACCCGGCCCAATATCCGTTTAAATAACCGTTTATGCTAAACGGGAATACTCGTTTCCCCACGGTTTTCCCCGATTACCCGATGGGGATCCCCGTTTAAATCCTCGCGGTTTTTAAACGGGGACGGGTACAAGTTTTTTAAACGGGGACGGGGACAGAGGGATCAATACTCGGCCCGTTACCATCCCTAATCTCGACCAAGATGATATTGAAGGCATACGAGCTTTGTACTCTGACTAGTAACAAAGTGAATTAAGCTCAAATAATACAAAAGGTAAAGTATGCATTTAGTACATAAATTATCGATTTTGATATGTTTAAGTACGAAAACTTTTAAATTGTTTTTAAAATTTAACGTTAAATTCTGAATAGTGATAGTAAAATGAAATAAGAACTAAATTTTATATATGGTTTTGAAAAAATTAAAAGTTTAAGTACTACAACGGATTAAAATTGATAGTTTAAATACTAAACATATAATTTACCCTAATATAAAATTTGTTTGTTTAAAATTTTAATGTTAATTCAATTAACATTAATTATCGATATAATATAAAGAGAACGTGAGATTGAACTTATTTAAATAATTAATATTAATTAATTTATGAGGAGAGAGAATCTGAATAATATAAAAATTGTACTTTAAAATTGTATGTTTAAAAAAATTAATATAAAATATTTATATTTATAAGATTATATTAGTAATTTTGTTATATTTAAATAGTAGTTTTATTTATCCATTCTCTAATTTTTCACTCCACAGTTGCTTGGTGGATTACTTTTGGGTAATCCTTATTACTTACTATTCGGGTAAAAACAATCGACGGGTCCAAACACAACTCAAGGAACTTCTTTAGTTTTCCTTCTCGCTCAATATTTTAACAATTTCAGAGCTGATCTATAGCTTTAGCAGTTATCAAATTCCCAATCTTTCTTTCTATCAGGTTCTTTAATTTTCAACAATTCTGCTCTTCAAATGTATTATCCTATCTTCAGCTCTGTTTTTTTTTTAATTTGTGATATGAGATTGATTAAGATCCATATGTTGTAGACTGAAGATCTCGATGACATGAAACTATTTTCGAATTTCTGATTCTGGGTTGTTTTGATCTGAATGTCTATGTAAAATAAATCGGGTTCTTTCTGGAAAAAATGATCTTTCTATTGTTATAATTTATATGGGATTGATTTAGACTGAAGATCTTGATGGATTGAACTTTTGTTTTCTGTATTTTTTTTTATTATGGGTTGTTTTTATTTGAATTCTGTTATTCTGTAAAAATAAGTTCTTTTATTGATCTTTATATTGTTATGATTTTTGGTTGAAATAATCACAAATGTTATGGTATTAAATTGCGATTGCATATACGGAATTTTTAGAATTACTTTGAAAGACTTGGATAGGGTAGATATTATTTATTAGTGTATATTTGATATGATTTTGGATATTAAACTTTGAAGATATTAAGGAGCTGAGAATTGGAGTTCAAAAGATGCCAGCACAGAAAATCGAGACAGGTCATGAGGACGCTCTCCATGATGTTGCCATGGATCACTATGGAAGACGGTTGGCGACTGCTTCATCTGATACTACTATTAAGATCATTGGTATAACCGGCTCTACTTCCCAGCAGCTTGCTGTTTTACCTGGCCATAAAGGACCTGTTTGGAGGGTTGCTTGGGCGCACCCCAAGTTCGGATCAGTCCTTGCTTCATGTTCTTACGACGGCCAGGTGATAATCTGGAAGGAAAATAATCAAAACGAGTGGCTGCAGGCCCATGTTTTCAATGATCACAAATCATCTGTGAACTCCATTGCATGGGCACCCCATGAGCTTGGCCTCTGCTTGGCGTGCGGATCTTCTGATGGGAATATATCGGTTTTTACCGCCAGGGATGATGGTGATTGGGACATCAACAGGATAGAGGAAGCTCACCCTGTCGGGGTAACCTCGGTTTCATGGGCACCAACAACCGCGCCAGGTTCTTTCATCGGATCCGGTCTACTGGATCCTGTTCAGAAGCTGGCCTCCGGTGGATGTGACAATACGGTCAAATTATGGAAGCTGTATAATGGGACTTGGAAAATGGACTGTCCCCATTCCCTCCAGATGCATACCGACTGGGTGAGGGATGTTGCTTGGGCACCCAACTTGGGGCTCCCAAAATCCACCATTGCAAGCGCTTCACAGGATGGGAAAGTTGTTATATGGACTTGTGGTAAAGAAGGGGAATGGAAGGGTAAGATTTTGAAGGATTTCAAGACCCCAGTTTGGAGTCTCTCGTGGTCACTGACCGGAAACTTACTGTCCGTCGCTGATGCCAATAACAGTGTCACATTGTGGAAAGAAGCTGTTGATGGTGGTGAATGGCAAGAAGTGAGTACTCTTGAGCCATGAAGTTTAAATTTTATTTTATTCCTGCTTTATCTATCTACAGTCGTTTTAACATCTGGGTCTTGTCCATTCGAGTTCTTCAGCATTTTTGTCTGAATACTCGATCGGATGGTTAGATTTTTGCTTGGCATATTCTGAGATCAAAGAGAGAAAAGTTGATTAATCATTTATCATCTCCCTTCAATAAAGTTCAATTCATTGACGTATCTTTTTAACAATATTACATTTGGTTTTAAAGCTTCAATATCATGACTTGCTATACAAGTATGCTTCTGTTTTCTCTTATATGTGAACTTGATAGTTTTAGCTTTTTCGACTATCTTGTCATGGCACAATGAAATTCCTGTACTTATTGATTAAAAATTATTTTTTGGTGAAAAATAATAATTTAACTTTCTAATTCAAAACGGAATAAAAGATTAAATATCTATATAAATATTTATTTATTCACACTAACTCGACACAAGTAAGTTTATTAACAGGAAATATAGAGTTCAAAATTTATAAGAGGTGCAAATTGGAAACAGAAGTTTGATTCATGGGGGCAACCCAAAAACATGTTAGCCTGTCAATGAGAACAATAGATAACCCCATAAAAAAGCTTAATGTTCTTTTTTTTTACAAAATATAATGCAAAACCCTATTTACACGATAATGGCTCATATGATCTTACAAATGTGCAACATTTCCTAACCCTTCATCCTTCATTACTGGTATGACCCAATTAGCATCAATCCATGAACGTATAAGAAACATGCCTTTGGCCCTTGCTGCGAGAAAAGCATGAAGGTTAGGTCATCTTTGAAATCCCAGAAAAGAGCAACCTAAATGGTTGTGGAGATGTAAAGATTTGTGATTTCGTGTTTACCATTTTCCGGACTTACTGTGAAGCGGATAAAAATTTATGGAACAGTTGAACTCTAGCTTGATTATTATATGATCTGCATTGTGTTGAATTTCTTCTCCGACGAAAGAAGAAATCTTCGGTGTCCAACACATAGGAAGTCTGTCAACATCAAAAGACCCAAAGTAAATGTCACGTACACAAGCAATTTCTTAGTGATACACCAACCTACAAGGTATGTCAACTTCAGCCCAATAGGCCTAACAGTTTTGTCCACAAAAGGCATCTCATAAGCTGAAGACAACGTAAACTGTATATACAATCGACCTTTAACGCACAACGAATGTGGGATTAACAGCTCTTATCTAACACCATTAAACTGTCCACTTGGTCCATAACAGCAAAGAAAGAATAAACCAGATACAAATAATGGCAAGATACCTTGTATGAGTCGCAAGCTATCTTGTTCTCCAAACCATTAACCAGCTCAACACCTTCCATGGCCACGCAAGTAGCAGCAAATTCATCTAGACTTGAATACTTCCTCTTGTTTCTGCATATATCAGTAAAGGAAAATCATATTAAGCAGCAGATATTTAACTTTTTGTTCAATATCTTTCTTGTTACAATCATAAATAATAATACATGAAAGGCTGGCAGATCCTACCACCAGAAAAATGAATTGCAGAACTACAAAATAATTGATCTTTAATGTTATGAAATGCAATAATGTTAATGTTATCAGATGTTACCTCTTTAGTGTAATTCCATGTGGCTCCTTTTTCCCAAGGTTGACAGACAGAAAATCATTGTGCAACGAAACTGAAAAATTAGGTTCCATTGAAACAGCAAAGGCTTCAGGCTTTTCAATGACATTATCCATCATCTGAATAGACAATCTAGATGGCAAAGATGACTGCAAAAAGGAACTAATGTAAAAAAAAATTTTACATGTCAACCTATATATATCATATATGCAGATAGAAATAGTATGGCATTCATGTGCCTTATGTTCCCTCCTTTCTTTTTTAAGAAAGGGCTCGTAAAGCAAAACTTACATATGTCAACCGATATATATTATCCTCGTGAAGAAGGACGTGTGCATTCTCATAATACACTGAATCCATTGTCTTCCTATGTTTCCGGGATTTTTCATACTTAAACAATTGAAGAAGCTTATCATCCATCTCATCTGTTGCAACAGCTTGAAGCTGTAACAAAAACTATAATTCAGAACAGTTGCTGGAAAAACGAGGTGGATTATAGCGAAGGACCGTCATAGAAAGCAAACCTGCTTAACCAATCTATATATTAACTTGTCCAGTGTAAATAACTCATATGAATGGTTTCCTATTATAGCTCGACATTCATCCTCAAACTTCACATTGTCGGCAGATGCATCAAGCAGACTGTACAGCGCACTCATAAATCTGTGCAGCACAAAGATATATTTTTCACATAAGAATGCGAATGCATCAGACATTCACATTGTTCGGCACTGAAATTTTTATGCAATTCACCTGGCATATAAATCTGAAGAACTAGCATCTTTTGAATTTTTCCACTTTTCAGCAGCTGCTGAATTTGTTTTCGCTGACAGTATTCTTTCATAGAGAATCTAAACAAAAATTAAAAGGTTGAAGAATACTTATTAAATGTAGAGAGAGAAATAGAGAAAGAAAAAAACTAAAAATCTTTAGAAATCCTACGTACTCGATGAAGTCTGAAAAGAACATAGAAATCCTCATTTGCATAAAAAACACAAGAACTGTATCCATCTTCAGGTGAAACTGCAGGTACCTGCTTTGCAAGAGGCTTAACTGTAAAAAGAAAACGTTCTGAAAATGACAAGGACATACCATCTGCTCCCACAAGTGAATCAATAGCCCCTTCGGCTTCATCTTCACTTTCGGCCTTACCATCAACATCATCATGATCTACCTCTTCTTCTTCATGGTCTTCAGGAGAGCATTCACCGCCTGCAGACTCACTGCCTGACGCATCATCACCAGCCTCCAAGGCATTTTCACTATCCTCATCATCAGCATCTGCGTCATTTTCTACTCCAGCATCCTCAGGATGCAACCCTTTGCCATTTCCAGACCAGTACTGTCCATTTTCTATAGCATGCTTGGCCTTTGGCACATTCGTTAGACCATCATCGCCATAGGCAGCAAAATAATCGCCAAAATCACCACCATTAGGTGATAATTCACCTTCTTCTTTTTCAATTTTGGAAGGACCAGCTGATTCTTCATGATATATACTAGCAGAAGAGCCATCTGTAGGCACTCCATTTACTAATAAAGCATGTTTTGTTACACAACCACCCTGAAGAACCAAGAAAATTTACATAAGCTTATATGCCTGAAAATCAAAGGAAACAACTCCTTGCTTTTTAACCTCGACAAGGAGATGAGGAGATTTAATCAAGGAAAGGAAGGTCACAGATACCATATATTGCTATATTTTACCAGAACCAATTAGTAACACCAGCTTAGCCCATGCTAACTGCCAAGTAGCCGATATGTATAAAACCCTACCTCTGATGTATGTAGAAGATCAGCATTAACTTCAGATTCATGACCCTCACCAGCAGCAACGCTACTCAATCTAGATGTTGCTGCACAACATTGAAATTTAAACTAATCTCAGTATTGCAACATGATTTGGAAAGGAAGGTATAATAAAAAAAAGTAATAATAAAAAACTAGATCAGTAAACAAAAAATCATAAAAAGATTGTGATGTAAAACTTTTCTGGCAAACACACCTGAAGCCCCTTCAGTGTTGTTTCTGCTTTGATTATTTTCTGCTTCAATTGCAAGGGCTTCAGTTCCAGTTGCAAGTATGTTAGCTCCAGGCCTTTTATCAGCTATACACTTGATCTCTTTCTCTAGCGTTGAATCACCCCTATAAAGACGACCTGAGTGTTCTTCTTTGACCAAAGTTTCCCCATTTGTCAAACCATTTCTGCAATAGTTAGTTAGTTCCAGTGATCTGTTCTCATCTCCGTCATTAGCACCCTTTTGTTGCTCAAAATTAACAGTAGCATCAGTTCCAGGACTTCCATCACTTTCAGCAATGTTTGATGCATTACAGTTTACAGTAGGATTCTGAGCTTTACCAGCATCTTCAGTACCCTCTTTGCTGTTAGGTCGAGGAGGAACACTCAACATTGGCTCCAAAAAAGTGGTCCAAAGCCTCATGACTTTCTCTAACTGTTCTTTGGTTGAGCACATCTCCTCACATGAATACTCCATAAGTTTATACAGGTCTTCATGAATGCCAATATCTAAATAATCATATTCAAGGTGTGGAGCCAAGGCTTGTCTGTGACCAGCAATGCTCGCCACAAGAACATCATCCTCGTTCTGGTCCTTCTCTTTCAACTCCTTGATTTCAGCCACTAAAGCTGGCCATTACAAAGAAATGTCAATGAGACAAAGTATTAAGGATGTGGAAGAGCATAAACGAACACCATATGTTAGAATATATTGTAAAGAATCATCCTCAATCTTTTAACCACATTTTGCAACAGAGGAAAATGCAGCATATTTGGTATGAAAATTCCACTTACATTTCGCGCTCAAGTTCTTTGAATCCTGCTGCTTGAAATAGAAGCTGCGGTGATCAAGTGATTTGTAATGGTTTTTCAAAAAAATTTCAGCCCAAACCTTGTTAAAATCAAAACGGCACTTTGTCCACTCTTCTTGCTTCTGCTTCAGACGAGTTAAAATGACAGGTAATACAAGAGCAGGATTTTTACGTAATATTTCCATTACATCAAGACCATGGTCACCATATAAACGCTCAATGCACCTTAAATGTATAACTGCAGTAAGTAGTCCAGAAGAGGCCAAAAGTAAAAAAGATGGGGAAAATGTTCACATTGCGGTGAGCTACACAAAAATTGATAACCTGATAATAAATACAAACCAGTAAAATGGTCTTCTATGGGAGCTGGAGAATCCATATTGATTTTATTTTCATTGATCCTGTTCAGCAAGTCCTCAGCACGCTTGGCAGTTGAGCTCACAGATTCTAACAACATATCCAGCTCAAATCTAAGATCATAAAACAAAAAGTCTGTTACGTCTAGAATGAGTTAATATCTAGAACTTCCAAAGCCCAAAATGAGCCAGAATAATGAATCAGCACAAATCGACTTTTGTTCTCCGTAAAACTCATTCTCCACTTCACATGCAGTACATAAAATTGTAGCAGAAATAATAAAAAACTCAAATTATGAAAGAGATGGAATATAGACATTGCATATATTGTACCAGGACAAATAGAGGACCAGCAAATTTTACCTATCATCCTCGCATCGGAACAAACTCTCCTCATACTGATTTCTGCGCATGTGCTTAAA